AAACTTATGCCCATTGAGTCGGTGATGCCAGCCAACCACCTCATCCTCTGCCATCCCCTTTTTTCCTGCCTTCAATCTTTCCCAGCACCAGGGTCAAGGGCCTTGGAAAGCCCCAGGAGAAGAGAAGAAGAGAAGGGTGGGGAATGGTTCCTGGGTGAATTGAAGAAATGACTGTGAGTGAGGCAGCTGGGAAAGGCCTGAGAACAAGTTCTGAGGCCAAGGCCTTTGAGATCTCATTCTGCCCCTAAGAGACGTCACCGTCCTGAAGGAAATAGGTCAACAAATTGAAGCGTCTTCATGATGGGGTCATGAGTAATTTTTTTCCAGCTTCTTTATGCTTTTTTCTACTTAAAAAATTCCTGTAATGACCATGATTTATTTTCATGGTCAGAAGCTGGGGAAAAAGAAAAAAAAAACCAGATCCCAGAGGAATACCAAGCTTTTTAAAAAATGTTGCAATCACTCTACCTTTGGGATCAGAGGGAAAGAGAAAAGCATATCATTTCACCCACCAAGAAAGTGGAAATTGGAAAACTGGAAGCAAATATTAAAACTCCTTTATCAAATCTACCCCTATGGTCACTGATCACTTTTCCCTTCATTTATTCATTCTTTCATTTATTCAATGGTCATTAGTGGGGTGGCTACTAAGTGCTGGAGATACAAGACAGAAAAATAGGGGAGGGATAAATTGGGAGACAGGGACTGACATATACACACTGCTATATATAAAATAGATAACTAATAAGGATCTACTGTATAGCATGGGGAATTCTACTCAATACTCTGTTATGGCCAACATGCGAAAAGAATCTAAAAAAGAGTGGATATATGTGTATGTATAATAGATTCACTTTGCTGCACACCTGAAACTCACACAACATTGCAAATCAATTGTACTCCAAAAAAAAAAGAAAAATATACTGATGCCCCCATGGGCATCAGTCCAGGGGTGGGGGAAGGGGAGGTCTACAGACCATCATCAAATAACCACACGTGGGTGTCGTTACCACGGTGGGCTAAGCGCTGTGGGGGAGGGGCTGTATGTGGCCCTGTGAAGTTGGGTGATGGCTCAGGCTGGGGAGAGAAGGTAACCTTGTCATCATCACCTCCAGCTCAGGACTTCCCCATCATCACTGCAAAGGCTGTGGGCTCTGACACCCCTCCTCCTGGACTCTCCCTCTCCAGTCCATCTGGCAGCCCCTCTCACTGCTGGCTCCCCCAGCCTGTCTGGGTCCTCAGTGACTCCAGGACACACAGTGGCTCCCTATTACCTCCTACTGTCTCATCATTAAATACCTCTCTCTGTCTAGCTTGCCCAGTCTTGAGGAATCTCACCTCCCAAGGTCCTCACTGGCCCAGACGGTACTTCTGATTCAAGCTTTACTTTTTATTTTTTGGCCATGTTGTGCAAATGTGAGATCTTCGTTTCCTGAACAGGAATCAAACCCACATCCTCTGTATTAGAAGCACAGAGTCTTAACCACTGGACCTCCAGGGAAGTCCTAGGTGCAAGTTTTAAAAAGGGGGCTCTTCTATCCCTTACCAGGGCACACGACTTGGAGAGCAGAGCTCAGGCTGAATTTCAGTCCCTACTCTGTTTTCTGGCTTTAGCTCCACATGTAGACCACATACCTCTCGAGTAGGAATTTTAATCTTTTGTATTTTAATGCCCATGGTCCAACTCAGCACTGGGCACCCGTTCAAGGCCTTCTCAGGGAGAGATCAGTGTCTTAAACGATACAAACCTTAAGGCCAACCGGTGTTTGGCCTCAGATCTGCTCTCTGACCTTAGAAAGTATCTTTAGGTCCTGAAGACCTCCTCTGCAAAGTGGGATGACTGACTGCGCACTTTAGGCATGAATGAGTGGGAAAGAGAGGACGCGTCAGGGCTGAGGGGACACAGGACGGAGATGGGAGGAGGTGGCGCGCTCCTTCTCCCTTGATCTTCTCGAGCCTTTACCACAGGAACTGAGAAGCAGTTGAGGCTGCCTGCTCTGAGGAGAGTGCCTCTCTCAAGGGCGGTCCTTATCTCTTCTCAAGAGGCGCCTCCTTCCTGGGCCCCAGCCGCCTGTGGTTGAGTGGAGCTCGCGCATGAAGTTGAACCCAACCGCACACCCACCTGAACACCACAGGAGGGACTGGATTTTCCAGGGAAGTCCCAGTTTTGAATCTTACGTCTCACCATCTAAACCATGATATGTTGAACCATATGTTCCAGTTTGGGACCCAAAAACCTGGCTGGCCATGGATTGGGGGGGTTCCTAGATGGAAGTGAAAGCAGAGGCCTTCCTGACATGTCCGTCCTCACCCACTGGAGGTCCAGGCTTCCCGCTCTGACCTGCAGCCACCTCTCGTATGGTGCTCCAATTCCTTAGCACAGCTTCAACGCCATAAGCCTGGGCCTTCCCACCCACCATCCCAGGTCTCATCTGGCCATCAGGCCACTGGAAGGTTCACGGGGGCCTCGGGGAGACCAGGGCCCTCCTGTCTGATTCATTAGGGACTCTGGTAGGGGGACTTTCAAGTCTTGGCCAGCTGTTGAGAGGCAAGGTGAGTGTTTGAGGTTCGTGGGTCTTTGGATGAGGGACACTCACGTCATATCAGGAGAGCGGCTGAAAGCAGGTAGCAGCCAGGAGAAGCCCCTCTTCCCTCTGATCCTGCGTGGGTGGCCAGAAACAGGAAGCAGAGGGGTGTGACGGGTTTGGAAATGCCAGAGCTGAGTTTGGTCCTTGCTCTGCCTCCCACTAATATTGAATCTTCCTCGGGGTCCATTTCCTCATCTAAGAAAGGGCTAATCCCCAACCAGGCTGTGAAGCTGAGCAGCTGCCCAGCTGTGGCTCTTCACTAAGGCCAGCAGTTTTTGGCAGTTTCATGAGCACGGGTAACCCTGTTCTGCATGTGTGACCTCACTGCTGATTGGATCTGGGAACCTCCAAGGCAGCCTGTGGGAGCACAGAGGCCCCAGGACCCTGCAGAAAGACCCTACCTGCTGTAGTGGAGGGTGGCTGCGGAAAGACGCGCAGAGGAGACTCGGGGGGCTGAGTGTCAGCCAGGAAGGACAGTGAGGAAACCCATGAGTCAGCAGAAACCTTGAGGCAGAAAGAAGGTGCTTGAAGAGAGGTGGAGAGGGTAGGGGCAAGAGAAGCAGCTGCAGATACAACAGAGATCCAGATAAGCTCTTGGGCAGACACTCAGGTGGGCCTTCTTCTGAGGACACACCTACTGCTGTGAGATCCAGAACAATCTCTCTGGTCTCCTTGAGGCTCTGACGTCTTGACACCCAGAGTTTCTTTACCTCCAACCTGTCTTTCCAATAGCGCTCCCTGCCCAGGGGCAAATAACATTTGTCTGTATTCCTTGAAGGCTTTCCTGATGGCTCAGCAGGAGACTCCAGTTCAGTCCCTGGGTCAGAAAGGGAGAAGGAAATGGCAACCTACTCCAGTATTCTTGCCTGGGAAATCCCACGGACAGAGGAGCCTGGTGGGCTACAGTCCATGGGGTCGCAAAAGAGTCCGACACGACTTAGTGACAACAACAACAAAAACAAATATTCCTTGCAATTTGAAAAAAGCAGAAATAAAGACTTATTTTGCAGGATTCTTATAAAAATTGATCAAAATCATACATAGAAAATAGCCTCCAAGTGGCCCACGTGCACAGCAGGTGATCAGACGGCGGGGGCGGGGGGAGGTGCTGTTTTTGCCAAGGAACTGAACACAGCACTGGACTGTAGAGCCAGAAAAATTCAGGAGGCCACGTGGAGGCCAGGGCGTGAGCTCTGCTCACGGAAACAGGCTGCACGAACCCAACCTCATTCTCCTGGTCTGTCCCCGTGGAGACCTCACAGCTATATGAACAGTATTTTGGAAACAAATCACGGGACTTATGCTTGAACAGGACCCACTTGGGCTAGCTTCTCACAGGAGAGATAGTCTAAGAGTCATTAGATACCTGTTGGATTTCTCAACAATTTTCATGTTATATGAGGATTTCTGCAGAGACCATTTGACAGGAAATCAGGGCTGTCCTGACAGTCTCAGAACACATGGGATAGACCAAAGTCATCTGGATCATCCCTGACTTTGGCCTCTCTGGGGAAGCTGGACAAGACAAGAAGGAGCATTAACTGAGTTTCAGGGGAACCAGGACTGCCAATGGGCAGTTTGACAAGTGATTCCACTGGCAGTCCAATTGTCAGGATGCTGGGCCAATTCCTCGCGACTCTATTCCCCGTATACTTTCTTGCTGACCCTCTCTCTCCTGTCCCCACATTTGTCACTGTCCCTTCCAACCCAGAAGAGTCAACAGTTGGGCTTGCTGGTTCAGCTCAACTTTACAGAGGAGGATACAGGATCGGAGATATTGAGTGCCCACCCAAGTTCGTGTCAATGGTAAGTGCAGGAGATGGGATTTGCACTCAGATCTGCTTGATTCCTTTTTCCCACCAATCCCAGTATTACTGCTGAAAAAAGCAAAACACTCAGGGTAGAGGTGAGTTCCAGCCATGACCAGGTTCTCCCAGCATACCGACTCACTTTGAACCTGAAGGTGGAAAGTGGAAAAATGCCAAACTGGTCTGGGAAGGGGTGGGGAGAGGAAACGGGTGGGGGGCAGGCATATCTAGCTGAAAATGTTCTCTACTGAGTCATTAGGAGAAAGGAAAGGGGTGCTCTTCTCATTTTCCTTAACAAAAGCAGCTCAGGAAGAAAACAGTTCATTAAAACACTGCATACTTAAGCAAGGAAGCCAAAACGCTTATTTCAGTTCTTGAGGAGAAATGTTTGCAAAAGAAGAAAAAGGGTAAGTCAATAGCTGCCTTTTTTTTTTAAATAAAAGAAAACTTGAGTGGGTTCAAGTGAGTGAGGGCATGTTTGGGGGACTTTGTTTTGCTTGAGGTCATTAAATTACACATAATAAGCTGTCAGCCTCTGAGGGCTGAGGGTTTGTTTGCTCACACGTGAATCCCACTACCTAGGACTGGACTTGGCACATAGTAAATGCAGAACAAAAGTGTCACCTGATGACCCACCAGTCTCCACCAGGTTGCTGGAGCATTGAGATCAGAAATAGACAAACTCAATGTCTGCTGGCCCAACAGCCCCTCTCAAAGGTTACCAGTCCTGAAAAGGCTTGGCTCAGAATGATGCTAGTGAGGAAGGACATGAACACTAGGAGTCCAAAGGGTTCTAACAACCCCCATTACCCAGCCCCCATATCCTGAGATGACTCTATTATTGCCCACTTTGCCTAGGTGGGATTTACAACCTATGGGATCTGACTCAGTGGTTAGATGTCAAAGGCGTGAGGTAGACCCATTCTCACTTATCTTTCAAAACTAACTAAGTTTCACTGCCTCCTCCTCCAGGAAGCTGTCCTTGGTGCTCAATCTCCTCCCCCTGCTCTTTCCACTCTGGATTAAATCTGTCCCCCACCATGCATCCCCAGCTCTCCTTGTATAGCAGCATATCTCCATCCTGGTATTTATCATCGCAGATGACGACAATCAGCTCACTTCTCACTACATTGTCAGGTCCTCAGAGATAAGAGGTAAGTCTTCTTTAACTTCATATCCTCAGTACTTAATTCAGGGCCTGGCATGTAGTAGGTGCTCAGTAAATGTTCTTAAATGAATAAAAGGAAGGGAGGAAGAAGCAAAGGAAGGAAAGAAAGGAGACAGGACACTCTGAGAATTATGACATTTTCTTTCTGAAATGTGTCTCATAATTATTTGCCCTTCTGTCTACAGATGGCAATTCAAGTCAGGATTCTGCTTTCTGTCAATAGTCAAGTGCCTCTACTCCCAGCTGTGTCTTTGGCACCAGGGGCAGAAGGAGATTCAGCTGGATTGAGAGGGATTTGGGAGTGCGGTGTCTGAGAGTTACTTGCATGTCCTAACACATTTCTGAACTAAATGTATGTCTCTGAACCATACACAAAACAACACACGCAGCCACATTCTTTCTACCTGGAACTTAGTTACTCAGCAATTTCACCTTTCAGACCACAGCCAGCTGCTAGTGAGCAAGCTGGGTGTGGGAGGGCTGAGAGCGTGACCTTCTGTTTGCTGTGGTCGCCACGGTGCCCAGAACAGGCCAGGCAGCTGCTGGGTGTTCACAAGCTATTTGTTGAGTGATTGAATATGTGAGAAAAGAATCTGAGGCGGTTTCAACGCTGCAAAATTTCTACTATAAATCCTGAACTCCACTCATAGGGGAGTCTCTTAGACTCTCACTCAAGCCATGTTGACAGTTAATTTACAAATCAGTCTATCAGATTTCATCATCTTGTTCTATATCGGCTGCAGGCTAAAAACTGGAAGAAAAGAAATATGTTTTTACTCTATCCATGTAAATATATATATAATAAAGAAAGATTAAGAAAAGTAGTCTTCACAAAGCACAGTAGACTGGCAGCCAATTGTGACAACTGATTTTTTTTTTTCCCCTAAATAGTTTATGAGTGGGTTCCAAATATCACAGACCATTATCAATACTCAAAGTGATAACTGAGTCATGAAAATTAGGTCAAATAAATTTCAACTTACTCTTCTGGGAAGACAAGAAAGTGAATAAAGCATTTTAAAAGGATTTCTATCCATGATGGATAAAATTGGAAAAGGTAAGGTATGTAAAGAAGTAATCCTAAAGCATTTCCATTGGCTGAAGCATTGTGGAATCTGAATAGTTTTGATTCCCAAAAGCAAGTTTGTTGTTGTCAATGGCCTTTGTCCTTTGGCTTCTCCCCATTAGCGTGGGTAGTCACAGGTTGCTTCCTGCTCTTGGGGGCATATGGCCCCAGGGGATGGATATGCTAAGGAAACCCCAAATTGGAGCCCACATTCCTAACCAGTTCTTGTTGTTCAGTCACTAAGTAATGTCCAACTCTTTGAGACCCTGTGGACTGCAGCATGCCAGTCTTCCCTGTCCTTCACAATCTCCCAGAGTTTGCTCAAACTCATGTCCATTGAATCAGTGATGCTACCTAAACATCTCATCTTCTGCTGCCCCCTTCTCCTTTTGCCTTCAATTTTTCCTAGCATCAGGGTCTTTCCAGTGAGTCAGCTCTTTGCATCAGGTGGCCAAAGTATTGGAGCTTCAGCTTCAGCATCAGTCCTCCCAATGAATATTCAAGATTGATTTCCTTTAGGATTGACTGGTTTGATCTCCTTGAAGTCCAAGGGACTCTCAAGAGTCTTCCCCAACACCACAGTTGAAAAGCATCAATTCTTCAGTGCTCAGCGTTTTTATAGTCCAACTCTCACATCCATACATGACTACTAGAAAAACCATAGCTTTGATCAGATGGACCTTTGTTGTCAAAGTAATGTCTCTGCTTTTTAATATGCTGTCTAGGTTTGTTATAGCATTTCTTCCAAGAAGCAAGCGTCTTTTAATTTCATCGCTACAGTATTTACTCATTTCTGGTTTTCTCCAAAGGGCAATAAAAATAGGACTTCTTTAGGACATGTGGAACAGAGGCTTGAACAAAGCTATTGGTTACAGTGAGAATTAGTGGTTATCTGGGAGGACAAAATAAAGTAGAGAAAGCCACAGGGAGCCAAAGCGAAGGGTGAGATAGGAGGGCCTTGGATTTCTGCCCTCTGCCTGGGCGGTGAGGTGTGGGGTACCGGTACCCCCATCTCCAGGGTGGAGCTGAAGGAACCAGCCCCTTCTTCCTCCAGACCCCAGTGCACAAAGTGAGTGATGCAGCAGAGGGGTGGCAAGTCCAAGTGGAAGCTAAGGAAAAGTTGGCCGCTCTCAGGCGAGTCACAGAGGAGCCGCCTTCTCCCACCGTGAGCACTGGGGGCACAGTGCTCAACCCCAGCAGGCTTCTAAAGGCCCCGCCTTCTGTCTCCTGGACAATCCCTGCACCTCTGCCGATCCCTACCGTCAGCAACTCTAGCAGCATCCGGAAGGCTGACGGACAGATCAGATCCTGGACAGTGGGGAGTGGGGTGAGGAGGAAAGAGAGCTGCATCGCCCCTGTCCTCAGGACACCTGCCCAGACATAGAATCCAGCTGGGTGTCTGAACCCAGCAGGACTCTAAATATTATGGGGTTGGCCAAAAAAGTTCATTTGGGTTTTTCTATAACATCTTACAGAAAACCTGAACAAATTTTTAACCAACCCTGTATATGATAGGGCTTCCCTGGTGGCTCAGATGGTAAAAAAATCTGCAGTGGGGGAGACTCAGGTTTGATCCCTGGGTCAGGAAGATCCCCTGAAGAAGTGAACTTTTTGTACAACCTTATTTATAAAAAAATGACAAAACAAGAGTTAGTGATATCTTCTGGCTGAGAAGGAATGTGTGCCCTGAAGCAGCCGAGCTTTCCCTTTGAAGACAGACAATGGCTGGGTTTGAAGGCCTTCAGTCCCCTTTGGACTTAAGAACCAATTTGTCCTGCAAGAAGCAGGGCCGCATGGAATCACCTTAAAGAGTGAGCCCCCAGCCTATCTCTCTTGTCCTGCATCTTCCTCCAAGATGGGCTCTGAAACGCCCTGGCCTCCCATCGTGGGCCTGTTCCCTTCCACCTCCCGGAACTGGGGGCCTGAGACACCCGAAGGCCTCAGACTTCAGCTTGCCACAGAGATGTAGGGCTCAAGAAGAGGCAGGAAGAGGAGGCAAGTCTGCACAGAGAACTCCTGAAACTTACAAACTGCTTCCACCAATCATTTCCAAGCTTTCTCCCAGTCTTACTCCCTTCTCCACTATAAATATCCCCTCAACAGCTGATAGGGAGACAGATATGAGCAGTAGCTCCTGTCTCCTTACTTGGCTGCCCTGCAATAAAGCTTTTTAATTTCTGCAAAATATCACTGCCTCAGGATTTGGTCTTTCTGCTGTGCAGAGGGCAGTGAACCCACTTGCTCAGTTAATTACCATCTACCATGTTCCAGGCACTCTGCTGGTCATTTTTTTAATCTAATCCCATTTGTCCCTTCAAAATATACCGAGGTGGACACCGATTTCCTCCTCCTAGAGAGGAAGGGTCTAGTTGGTATAGGACATTGGAACCTGGTCTATCCGTCTGCTGACAGTAGTGGGGCTGTCTGGCCACCTTCCCTTCTCGCCTGTGTCAGCACTATAGCATCTGTCAGATCGAGGTTCTCAACTGCCTCAAGAGGGAACCCAGCTGCTCATCTTCTCAGAGGTCCAAAGACAGGCCCTTGGCCTTGGTGGCCATGGGGAGGGGTGCCAGGATGAGCACTGAGTGACAGTCTCACGACCACCAAAGGTGAGCACTATGGGCTTCACCCTTCGGGCTGGCACTTCCTGCTGACAGGAGCTGCTGCCAGTCTCTGTTCTCTGTCTGGGAAGTGCAATCCCACTCCAGGACATCCCTCAGAAGCCGCGGGGGCCTCCAGGGGCCTGGACTGGGTTCATCCTTGACTGTGTAAGGAATTATTTCAGCCAGGTCAGGCCTGCCCGCTCAAGGGAGTCACTGCTGGAGTGTTCCGGGAAGGCATATTTTACGGCAGAATCTTGCTTCCTTCTGTTTTATGTATGACATTTTCCCAAGAGAAAAAAAAAAAGTTGGAATAACTAGCATCATTATTCTTTTTTTCTTTTATTTTCCAGCCCAACACCATCTGTCATCAGAAAACAGTTTACTTTATACCTCTCAGGCTGATTTCCACATTCAGAGAAAGCTGGACGGAGGACAGCAGTGACCTCTGCATGCCCCACAGCAAGGGGCTGAGCGGTGGGGAAGTGGAGCTAATGATCAGCCCTGAGGTGGCTCAGGAGAGAGCTGGGCTGAGAAACATCGGATGGGACATGCGCTGTTATAAGACAGGCATCTTCTCCCTGTGTTGCTTCTCGCTTCCCCACTCAGTTGGCTGAAAACACGATTAAAGTTCTGCCATTGTTGATGCAAGCATCATCTGTGGCATGGAGGCGAGGGAGCATGTGGGGTGGAAGCTAGCACAGAATACTCTGAGATTTCTTTTTTTTTTTTTTCATCCTAAAGTCCATGAGTTCCAGTCTGTGAACCAAGAGAGAAGAGGGCCTAAGTTGATAATCATTTGTTATCAGATTTTGACCTTTTCCTGCATCTAAGAAGGACCAGATGAGAGACTCTAGGCTGAGTTTGCTGCTATAGACCCAAAGGTAAGGAGAAATGGGAAAATCCATCAATGTCTGAACATCCTGTTTATGTCATGTCAGATACAAATAACCACGGATAGGGAAGTATTGGATCTTTGGGTTTCTGGGTTGATGCTGAGCTAAGAAATCTAAAATTGATTCTTCATGTGGACTTAGATGAACTTTACCACAAAATTTCTGAGCTACATTTTCAGGCAACCCAGATTGAGGAAATGCCAACCCTGACAATCAGACACCTACCCTCACCCTGACCCCTCCACTGGAAGGTCTGGGCTCTTACCCAACAGGGTGATGCTAATCAGAATTTCATTTTGTAACTGGGGAGGAGCCTGCTGAGGGTTTTAGGAACAGAGTCACACGGTCAGATCTGTGTTTCTGGAAATATTACTCTGTGTGCAAGTGGGAGGTGGATTTCAAGGGGGAACTGGCTTAATGACACTAAAGAGGAGCTGCTATGGCCTCAATGTTTCTGTCCCTCTAAAATCCATTGGCTGAAACCTAACATTCAATGCCATAATATTGGAAGGTTGTCCAACTCTTTGCCATGCCATGGACTGTAGCCCTCAAGGCTCCTGTGTCCACAGGATTTCCCAGGCAAGAAGACTGGAGTGGGTTGCCATTTCTTCTCCAGGGGATCTTCCTGACCCCAGCGATTGAATCTGCATCTCCTGCATTGAAGGTGGATTCTTTACCTCTGAGCCATCAGGAAAGCCTACAAGGGATATAGACAAACCTTATAGAGAATGCAGGGAGATCTGATCCTACCCCAGCCCAACCCTGCCTATCTACAGATCTCCTAGGGAAACATCCAGGAAACAGAAGTTGAGAAAGAAAGAGGAAAGACCACTTTTCTTAAGTTGTCATATGAATTCCTTTTTCCTTGTGTCGCCTTCTAAGCTTAGAAGGATCAGTCATCCTTGTATCAGTTAGTACACTACTCTGCTCTCTCACCACTGCATTTCTGACTCCTCCCAGGGGAGACAAGTATGCACTGCTGTCTGCTGGTCCATGCTTCAGGTTTTACAGAAGCTGACATCTGCCAGTCTCCCAGTTGGGAGACTGCCCGGGTCCACAACTGACTGTAGGGGAGGAAATTCTACTTGCTTCCAGGATAAGCCACATTCTCCAATATCAACTTTATCTACAGCAAAGATGACAATTTGATATCCATATGCCTTGTTCCTCCTTTTTTTAATCTCTAAATTAGTCCAGAAGTTGGATGAGGAGAACAAACTTCTCATTTATTGTACTCCCTAAGACTCAAAATTTAGTATAAGTTGGTGCTTGGGGTCCAAATCCTAACCTCTATTTTTTTTTCACAATCAAATTTATTTACTTTTAATTGAAAGATAATTGCTTTACAATACTGCATTGGTTTCTTTCTTTCTTTCTTTCTTTTTATTCATTGGAGGCTAATTACTTTATAATATTGTAGTGGTTTTTGCCATACATTGACATGAATCAGCCATGGATTTACATGTTCCCCATCCTGAACCCCCCTCCCACCTCCCTACCCATCCCATCCCTCTGGGTCATCCCAGTGCACCAGTCCTGAGCACTCATTTCATGCATCCAACCTGGACTGGTGCTGTGTTTCACACTTGATAATATACATGTTTCGATGCTGTTCTGCCAAACATCAACATGGTTTGGGAGGAGCCAAGCCAATGACTTGAGGCCCACAGTTGTTGTTGTCCAATCGCTATCCGACTCTTTTTGCGAGCCTGTGGACTGCAGCCTGCCAGGATCCTCTGTCCATGGCATTTTCCAGGCAAGAATAAGGGAGTGGGTTGCCATTTCCTCTTCTAGGGGATCTTCCCACCCAGGGATCAAACTAGTGTCTCCTGCATTGGCAGGCGGACTCTTCACCCGAGTCACCAGGGAAGCTCTGAGGCCCACACAGAGGGGACGAAAGATGAGAGAAATTTGTTGAAGAGGTAGATCCCATTGGGTACTGTGGGTGAGGTTAGCATCCAAGTGCGGCCTGACTAGAGAGGGAGGGACCTTTCAGGAGGGGGAAGGCAGCAGTGTGGAGGAGGAGAGATTTGTCATGGCTGGGCAAAGGGGAAAGCTCCTCTGCAGTGTCAGAAGTGGGTTTTACTCATGCCATACAGGATGGCCCCTTCATTCCAGAGGCCAGGGGGTAGCTTATGCTATAGATCAATAAAACTGGGATAAAGAGGGGGGCAATAAAAAGCTCGAAGTTTGATTCACAGGTTTTTTTTTAACTTTTAATTTTGTATTGGAGTATAGCGGATGGTGACTGCAGCCATGAAATTAAAAGACGCTTACTCCTTGGAAGGAAAGTTATGACCTACCTAGATAGCATATTAAAAAGCAGAGACATTACTTTGCCAACAAAGGTCCATGTGGTCAAGGCTATGGTTTTTCCAGTGGTCATGTATGGATGTGAGAGTTGGACTGTGAAGAAAGCTGAGCGCCGAAAAATTGATGCTTTTGAACTGTGGTGTTGGAGAAGACTCTTGAGAGTCCCTTGGACTGCAAGGAGATCCAACCAGTTCATCCTAAAGGAGATCAGTCCTGGGTGTTCATTGGAAAGACTGATGCTGAAGCTGAAACTCCAGTACTTTGGCCACCTCATGCGAAGAGTTGACTCATTGGAAAAGACCCTGATGCTGGGAGGGATTGGGGGAAGGAGGAGAAGGGAATGACAGAGGATGAGATGGCTGGATGGCATCACCGACTCGATGGACATGAGTTTGAGTAAACTCCGGGAGTTGGTGATGGACAGGGAGGCCTGGCGTGCTGCGATTCATGGGGTCGCAGAGAGTCGGACACAACTGAGCGACTGAACGGAACTGAACTGAATGGAACTGAACAGAACTGAACGGAACGGAACGGAACTGAAGGCCGATTAACAATGCTGCGATAGTTTCAGGTGAACAGTGAAGGGACTCAGCCCAGTATCCGGGCTTCCCTGATAACTCAGTTGATAAAGAATCTGCCTGCAATGCAGGAGACCCCAGTTTGATTCCTGGGTTGGGAAGATCCACTGGAGAAGGGAAAGGCTACCCACTCTAGTATTCTGGCCTGGAGAATTCCATGGACTGTATAGTCCCTGGGGTCCCAAAGAGTTGGACACGACTGAGCAACTTTCACATTCTCCCCCAAACCCCTCTCCCATCCAGGCTGCCACGTAACATGAGCAGAGTTCCCTGTGCTATATACAGTAGGTTCTTGTTGCAGATGTCAGCTTCTGTAAAACCTGAAGCATGGACCAGCAGACAGCAGTGCATGCTGTCTCCCCTGGGAGGAGTCAGAAATGCAGTGGCGAGAGACTGGAGTAGTGTGCTAACTGATACAAGGATGACTGATCCTTCTAAGCATAGAAGGTGACACAAGGAAAAAGGAATTTGTATGGCAACTTAATTCATAACCAACTTAACTTGTTGGTTAACCATTTTAAACATAGCAGTGTGTACATGTCCATCCCCAACTCCCTAACGATCCCTTCCACTCATCCTTCCCCCCAGAAACCGTAAGTTTGTTCTCCAAGTCTGTGAGTCTCTTTCTGTTTTGTAAGCTCATTTGTATCATTTCTTTTTAGATTCAAATATAAGGAATGTCTTCTCTGACTTACCCTACTCAGTAAGACAATCTCTGGGTCCATCCCTGTTGCTGCAAACGGCATTATTTCATTCCTTTTAATGGCTGAGTAATATTCTATTGAATATATGTACCACATCTTCTTTATCTAATCCTCCATTGACAAGTCTTTAGTAAACATCACAGTATGTCTGAGAGTGTGCTCAAGACTGAAGACACACCAGTGATGAGCAAAACCGGTCTGGCTCTGCCCTTGGGGCTTTATCATGGTTTCTCCAAGATGTCTTTTTTCTGGTTCCTTTGAGGTTTGGGGAATAGGAGAAATTAGTACTCCCTTTCAGAGGGTGCTGTCAATGCCCAAGGCTTGTATGTGTTGACTTTCTATTGTTACGAGCCTTAGGGAGATGAGCAGGGAAATCACATCCAGTGATGAGAAATAGCTCAATTGACCAGAAATAGGAAGTCTGTCTAGGTGGTGTCCTTTCTGTCCTCCTTTGGCATGACTAAGTAGCTTTTTATTAATACACATATATGTATGTCTCCATAGGGGTGTGGATGAATGAAGTGTGTCCGGGTTTCAGGTCCTGAGTGTGAAATAAATGTCAACCTGTCCATTTTTCTCTTCTCTCCCTGTGCTTCCCATGAACATCAAAGAAATCAGACCCAGGTGACTACACAAAAGGGGTCTTGTTTGGGAATTCACCTTGTTTAGAGAGGGAAGCCCCCAGCCACCACCCCCAGTAAAAGCTGAGTGACCTAGGCAAGGCACACCCCTTCCTGGGGCCTGTTTCCACATCTGGAGTAGATGGAGTTGGCGTGGCTCAGGCGTTCCCACCCTGAGTGGTGCATCAGTCTCCTTTGGGAGCATTAAAAACACAGATTCAGGACTCCAGGTCCAGAGATTCTGATTCACTGAGCCTGAGGTGAGACCTGGGAGTCTACATTATCCCTAAGCAACCTTTCTCCTCTAATGATTCTGGTGCAGTATGGAATCCAGACAAACTGGGTAAAAATAGACCACTCTAGCCATGCAGATCACACGGGCTCATAAAAAGCGAGGCTGAGGACACAGCTGTGGCTTCAGCGAGGGTGTCAGGATGGTCGTGGGGCCTTCAGCCTTGAAAACCCAGTGGGCAGTCAGTGCTGAGCGAGAACAAGAGTGAGACAACAGGAAGCACCGGCTTCCTCCCTCTGGTGTCTGAGGAAGTGGGTCAGACCCACCCACTGGGGATGCTCCTGCTGCTACCTGTGCCCCGGGAGCCCCGCGCCGGTCGGTTGCATGTGTCTTGGTGACGGGGGAGTCTCTATTTGGAGAGTCCCCTTGTTGGGAGCCTCAGAACAAGGCTCGTTGTGGTAAGGATTTAGGACAGCCATCACTCCAAAGGGCTCATAAGGAAGATCTCTCTCCCTGCCGGCTGACTGCTGCTGGTAGGGAT